AGATGATTGAGATTACGAGAACAAGATGTTCATTTAGTGAAAGCTGCTTTTTCAGAGTTGTGGGCTTTTCAGTTGAGAAGTTTATGAACAAATTCTGTACAACCAAAGGTACACAGAAGGATGAATCAGGACTGCAGTGCTTGAGTGGGAAAAGCTGAGTGATAAAAAAATGCTTGCTTTGAAATTGAAATAAGAAAATTGGGCCTGTTGTTCATAAAGGAATTTAGATACAGAGATTTCTTTTAAGATCTGTGATTTAATCTTGTCTTCCTTCATCACCTCCAGTAAATGAATAGGAGCAAAACATACATTTTTATGGGCAAAGGAAGTGGCTTTGAAAGGAAAGCAAAGCACTGCTGTATTTCTTTTATTCCAGAAGATGAATGTTATTTCATTAAAGGCTGGGAAAATATGTTTCCCTTATAGCTGTTATTATCTCATTTAAGTCATTTATCAGCATTAGATTACTGAGCCTCTGCCATTGCAAGTGCAAGATGTAGCTCATTTTCTGGTGTGTCTATCAGGGCTGCAGGCTCAGACTCTGCTATGGGAGTTTAATTAAAACCAAGAAATAGAATAACCCCATTGCCTGCTCACAGTCACCACTGTCTTTTTGGAGATCAGCAGCAGTTTCAGCTCAATAGTAAAATAATTCAGTGTACAGAAGATAAAATGTGAGCCGCTGATAAACTCGCTGGCAAGTTTTAAGAAACTATTCCACGAGGAAAAGCGTTATTTTGGAATTCCCATCTCGTAGAGCTGAATGGAAGAGTCTTCCATGCCGGCTGAAAATACCTGTGTGACAAGTGAGCTGGGTAATGGTGACACCTCGTCTGCACTGCTTTTAGAGTTGCACCCAATGCAATGAAGGCTGGTTGCAACAGATGGTTCCTGAAATCAGAGAATAACCAAGCCAACTGGGACAAAATTTAGTGGTTGTCTCAGGGGTAGGGAGCACAAATTGACACTTGTGAAAATACGGAATAAAGAAAATTAATGGATGTGTTTACAGCCCTGTCATTTTCCCCCCTTAAGTACTGAATAACATCGAGGCCGTGAAAACTCGAGTTTAGATGATGCAACTTCCCTTCTGCTGAATTCACAACTCCAGGCATTCCCTGGTATATTAACACCATGAGCCACCAGTCAATTAAGAGCTTGTTAATGAAGAAGAGTTCACAAACCATCAGCATTTTGCTAATTATAGGAACAGCTGTTGGACAAACGCTGCCTCCAAACTCTGGAGTTTGTAAATGTCATTAACACTGTGGCTTAGTGCTGATGTTACCTGCAGTGATAATACGGGATTCACCTCAGCATCAAAGTTTTTATAGCTGCTAAAAATTTCAGTTTCTTGATTTATGTAAAGCAGGTTTTGCTCACCTCATGATCAGGGACAACATCTTCAAAAGTTGTAGCTAAATACTTTTCTTCCTCCATGAAATCCAAGCAGTCTATCCCAGAGTCTGTGCTTGAAAGGGAAGTCTGAAAGGGTTATTACTGCTCAGGTACACATTTTAATAGACATACAACCCAAATATGTTAAATTAAGGTGTAAACTTACTATGTGGTTATTAGACTTGAGTTTTGAATTCTGTTTATGCTGTCTATCAGTTAATAAACTGCATTTAATGGGTGAGAATTGTTCAGTAGCCCTTGTTGCTGGACTCTGTTCTCCCACAGAGATATTGGTAACTAAGGACAGACTGGGGTCATTCAACTTATTTGGAGGGGGGGAAAAACCCAAATCCAACCTGCAGGGATCGTTTTTCTACAGACATGATTTCAAACAAGTGTTTGGATGGTTTGGATGAATGTTACGTTGAAAGCTGTCCTTTGAAAACTGAAGCCTCCTGCTCCCAATCTTTCCTTCTTGTGCACGAAGCTGGTGTTCAGCAGCAGATTTGAATATGTGGAGAAAATCCTTTGGGCTTGGTAGAGTACATGATTCCAGGGGTTATTTTTGCACTTCTCCCTAAGATGCCTTTGAGGAACAGGCCCGAGCCATGTGCGATCAGTGATGTGCTACCTTAGGAGACAGGAAGGGCACCCGGAGCGAGGGCAGAGGAACCAGAAGGGAAGGGGTTCTGACTGTTTGGTTAAAATATTAATTTCTATATATGATTTAATTACTGAGATTCCCTGAGATAAAGGTATCGAATTCAGGCTAAATTCCGGCATTGCAATTAGCAAGAAAGAAGTTGAATCTGCAGCCTTTGGGTCATTTAAAAAATCATATAATCACTTGATCATTGGTAGTATTTTCTTATACAATGTCTGACAACCAGGTACTTGTCAAGACACACTTGTATTCATGCTTTTAGTGCACTTAAAGCTATATTGATTTTGTTTTACATTGTAGCTTTGTTTGCTTGTTTGTTTGTGTAAACCTTCCCTTTCCCCTCTGGTGGAGTGTTTGCTTTTGGGCACCGTCAGCTTCCATGTGTAAAACTCCTAAAAAAAAGTCCCTCAGGGGTGTGTGCTTAGGAGGAGGGGATGTGATAGGTATCATGTGGTGCAAAGGACCTTGGCTCTGTGTTTTGTGTTGTCTCCTGTAAAGAAATTATCTTAAAATGACAGTTTGGTGAGAGTTTGTCTTCAGTTTCTCTGTCACTGAAACAACGTTGTTGAACTCAACTAAAAATCTGCATGTAAGGAAACAAAACATTCCACAAGATAACTGAATCCATTGGAAAAGCCCACAGAGGCAAAATAATTATTTCCTGGTGTGGTAAGACTGCAGGAAACTGCTGCTGTTGCCTGCTGTGAGGGGATTTTGTCAAAATGGATTTGAATTTGTAATGTGCTGAAGTGAGTAAATGGCTGAGGCAGAAGTACCGACCAAAATGCTTTTTAAGGGCTTAAAAGAACAGGGTAAAGGACAAACCAGTGACAACCTGCTGAAGAATTAGAGTTGGCAAACCAGGAAAGAAAACAAAGATCTGAGTACTCCCAACTTCCAGGACTCTTAAGCTTTAAAACACAGTGCTGAATTTTTGAGTGTTTAATGGAAATAGTGCCTGGTATTTGTATGGGAATGTATATAATGTATGGGTGAATTGCTGGGTTACTCTTCATGTAGGCAAGAACTTCTTACTCTGCACTGTGATCGATATTCAGGTCTATGGAAAGTGTCTTGAAGTGATGGGCAGTGCAGTAATTTAATTTTGAGGTAAACAAAATTATGAATCAAGGAAATGAGAAAGGACTGCTCGTGTCTTCTTAGCCGGAAACAACTGGAATATAATCGTGTGGGCTTAGCTGTGATCTGAGCTTCCAGCAGTAGTGGAGATGTCAGCATTTTCAGTGTCCTATTGAGGGCAAAGATGCTTTTCTCAACCAGAACGTGCAGATTTACCCCTTATGTGCTCAAATATTTGATATTGGTTAGTTCTTTTACCAAGGTGATTTAAAAATAAAAATATATTTTTGTGTCTTTGTGGGCACATGCACATCCCAGGACAGGGTGCAGTGCTAAGAGCCGTCTTTCAGTCCTCAGAGGGAACTTTTTGTACGTGTCAGAATCTGTGCTGGAGTCAAACCTTATCCAAATGCTCCTGACTGAGGCCTGCAGCTATCCAAGGGTTCTGCCACCGTGAATTCCTGCGCTACCTTCCCCTTCCCCCTGCTGCGTGTTTAGAGGGAAGGTCTGATTTCCTAACAGCAGAAGCTGCGGAAAATGTGCTGAAGTTTGCCGAGAGGAATTTAAAAGGGAATATTTTGGTCTTGGCATGCAGCTCAGTTGTAAGGAGAATCGTTTTGCTGGCATCCATCTGTCGCAGATTAAAATAGGTTGGGCCCAGGGTTTGGGAAGTGAGTGAGTGTGGCGGGATAAGTGACCGAAATAAACCCTCTGGAACGGGTTGGGCGACTGAAAGAAGTGGGAAAGCAGGAGCTTTCAGGATATTCTCACCAAGTGAAAGAGTTGGTTCTGCCCAGTGTTTGTGACGGGGAGGTGGAATTAGTTGAGGAACAGGCTCGGCCGGAGGCGTTCCAGAGGAACACCGAGTCCCGGTCCGACGGTGTGCGTGCCGACCTCTTCCTCTCCCATCACACCCCCACCAGACAGGCTCCCAAAGTTACTGAGCTGCTGTTTGCAACTCACTCCCACACTGTTTATTGAAGTATGAGCATTGCTGCTGTCTCTGAGCGTGTTCCCAAATGCTTATGCTGTTTAATCCTTGTTTCTCTTGCACAACTTTGGTTTTTCTCCCGCTCTCCAGGTGCCTTAGGAGCCAGTTTACCTGTGTGGAGGTTCAAACAGTGTTATTCCATGTCATAATCATAGACAAAAGCAAGAGAGCTGATGCATTTCACACTCCCTTGTTTAACAGTTCATCCCACAACGTGGCTGAAAAATGAAAACGTGTTTTTGCAGGTTTTTTAGCCTTGTTTTTCACTGGGTGATTACAGGCACTTTGGGGCTGGGCAGGTCTACAGCTTGATCCTGGGCTCAGCCTGGCGTGCAGTGCTGCCCACTCTGAGCATATATATCCAAAAATAATATATTAAAAAAATAATATATATAAACATATAAATAACAGATATAGAGATCTGTAAACGAGATATAAAATTATATATACAGGATGTATATATACATACATATATGTGTATATAGATATATATATACATACACATATATATATGTATAATGCCTGAGAAAACTATGGCTGGCAAGTCAATGCACTTATTTTTTTCTTGTTGACAATATCAGTTGCTATGATTTTTGGTGGGGTGTTTCTTTTTTTTCGGTTCTTGCTAAACTTTGAATTCCAGCACTTATTGCACTATTTTGCTCACTCCAACGGGTGTGCAGTTCTTTTGGGCCGTTATTGCCTAATTTGAGTATGTTAATTAATGCAGATACAATGCAAAGTCAGGGCTTTTCACTGTTTTATTTTCCTGCAGCATAAAATGTGAGAACCTTTCACCAGTGATGAAGTTGTGCTTTCTTTTAAGCAGGAGCTAATTAGAGACTTTTTTTCCCCCTTTTCTTACAGTCTGACAGCAATGCAAGCTTCCTCCGAGCTGCCCGAGCTGGCAATCTGGACAAAGTAGTGGAATATCTGAAAAGTGGAATAGACATCAACACCTGCAACCAGGTAAGAGATTTGAAGGACAGAAGTTTGCAAAGGTGAGTTGAGAGACACCTCCCCATCAAAACCTAGTTTTTCCAGGCTGGATTCCTTCATACCAGTGTTTTGATTCACCTCAAGGCATGTTTTCAGTCTTGATCTTCAGTGGTCTTTTGTTTAATATAATTTTTTTACATACTCAGTGTATTGTGTTTAAGCCCTGTAGAAGGGGACATTTTGAGTGTCACTGGGTCAAATCCAGTTCAACATCTGCACTCACATTTTTCCTTAACGTAACTACCTTTCCTTTCAGGGAAGTTGTTACTGCTGTAAAAACACATTGTTAAAGTGTCACCATTGATGTGACTGTAATGGGATAGAATGTTTTAACTTGGCTCTTTTGTAGGTCTGTCATATAAATCCAATTACTTTGGCTTCATAGCTTGGGGACCTACATTTGCAACGTTTATTTAAGTGACTGGAACTATCAAATTTAATAGGACTGTGACCGAAAATAAATATGCAAATAAGTGTCTGCATCAGTCCTGAAAAGTGTTTTGAGGTTCTGGTGAAATCAGTGCAGTTTTTTGATGGGGGAATTTGACAGCTCAGGTTTTATGGTGTCCAGCTTTCCCCTAACTCTTAGCCAGATGGAATCAAAATGACCACTAACTGGATGGTGGCTTTGCCTTTTGGAAGTAAAACCCTGGAATTGTGGCCACTTTATTTTGGAAAAAAAGAGTAAATTGAAGAATAAGAAACAAAATAATCTAAAATATTTGGAGGCATCACCTTCCCTGCTTGAAGGAAAGCTGCAGGTGATTAAAGTAGGGATGTGTCAAATGGAAGTTGGGACACAGGGCTGAGAGCAGCTCTGTTGTCAGTGCCAAGGAATTTAATGATGAGGAAAATAAGAGGCTTTTCATGTGCTGCTTATTGAAAACATACAGAAAAGAGCCTTCTCTTACTGTCTAGGAGAAAGTTCCCATTAAAAACCTTGCTGTCAAGGAAGAACTTGCTGAGTTATATGGGACATGACCTGGCAAACTTCAAGTTCCCCAATCAGGACAGAGTAAATCAGACTCAAGTTTGATTTATATTCCAATAGATCCAGCAGATTTTCCATTTTTATTATAAGCACCAATATTAACAAAGAGATTCACCCCCAGGACAGAGCACAGTTAATGTGATAATTACTTGGGAACATTATAAGGTTTTTTTTCCAGCCAGTTCATATTCTCTTGGTGGTTGTGAGAGGAATATGAGTGGGGTTGCTGCAGATTTGTCTCCTGAGGAAAGTGCTTTCCACCTGCAGCTGGTGCAGAGCTCCTCTTGCACTTCGTGGGTGGGATCAGAGCCAGGTGAGTGCAAATATCAGGAGAGAGGCTGTGGAATTTCTTAGTGGTTGGAAATAGATGAAGCACTCATGGATGTTATTATGAGGGAAAAAAAAAAGTGGTTGACTAGTGTGCAAAACAGGAAAAAAACCATATTAACGTGATTTAAATAAGTAATGTTACTTGATGTTCCAATTAAGGTAACTTAGGAGTTCTCTAGGCTGTAGAAAGTGTTTTGAGCTCTTATCAAACACCACAAGCCAAAAAGTGCTGAAACAACCCCTTCAGATCCATGAATAAAAATAATGTCTGATTTAGATTGTCTGAGCCCTGTTTGCCAGGGAAAACTTGTCCCTGTGCAGTGGCTAGTCTGCTTCCCTGAGGACACTGATTGCTGTATGGGAATTCCCAAGGATGAGGGATGAACTGAGACGGGCATCCTGCATCCTCAGGCCCAGTGACTCAAATTCCTTACCCTTCACCATCCATTGAGCACAACCAGGCACTTCAGCTCCTTGCAAACTCCAATTCCGGTGCCGCAGAAAATTCCTCACAGAGATTTTTGGTAACTAGAACCCTCAGCTCCTACTGATTAAGCATCACTGGTATATTGTAAATTTTATTGGGAGTGGGAGCAGCCTCCTCTGCTAGAGGTTAGGGAATAGTGAGTAAGCCATGGCAGCTCCTTCTGCAGCCTTCCAGTTATTCCTTCTCCTCCTCCTCAGGGTTTGACTGGGATGTCCACATGGTTGTGTTCCAGCTGTCTGTGGGGAAAAGTCAACACAGCACAGTCTGTGCAGAATGCAGGGGTGTCTTTTATTTTTAAGACTGAGCCATCTCAATGCTCTTTCACAAATGAAGCCTTCTTACATGCAGGTTGTTTTTTTTTCCCCCAGTATAATGCTATTTTTAGATGAGATCCCTTCTGGGAAAACCGTACATAATGTTAAGAATAAGCTTTCCTGAACAGAGGGAACACCAGGAGGTGCTTTCTCAAGTTCAGTGTTTGTTTCTCAGATCCTAAGTTTTTTCAGAGAGGTCTGTCTTTATGGAGAATCAAAGTATTTTTCCCAATGTAACTGTTTCCAAAATCTGATGGAGCTTAATGTTTCTGGATATACTGAATACAGGGAGTCATTACTAATATATGGTTAATAATTAATTATTATTTAATTATGCTTTATTAACTGCTGCTTTCATAAGTTCAATTATTATGGAATTGCACCATCATTTTTTTTCCCTGAAAATCATAAATCAATTATGTTTCTTTGTTTCTGGAGAGAGTTAGAAATGTCAGGGAACATAATTACCCTGTTTTAAGAGTAGTCCCTTAAAAAAAAAAAATCTAATTCCTGGTATTTTATAGGATGGATAGCTGATGGTCATTGGAAATCTCTGATTCCTTTAGAGCTATTGTGACAAATGTATTTTTTTAGGATGTGGTTGTTGTTTCTAGTAAAGTAGCAAGATAAAAGAACTTGCTTCTGCATGATGTTCAGAATGACCTTTAATTGGACACTCTGCATTTGGGCAGCCCAAGGTTCCAGCAGCAGTTAGACCCCAACACCTGACCAGTCCAAGGGTTCACCAGCTACCTGCTCCCCTTTTGAAACAGAATTGATGATCCAAAGGCAACATAAAATGACATTTCTCCATCTTGTGCTTGGAGACCTGTCAGTTCTCATGGCGACATAGTCGCTTCCTTGGAAGGAAAAATTTGCTGCATTTTGGCATTTGTTCTCAAGTCTTCTGCATTCCTAGAAACGGATGTGAAGTCTGATGCCTTGAACAGAACAGGAGTCAAATATTAGGTAGGTTGGGGGTCCTCCAGCTCCAGGGCCCCGATTTAGGTCTGCTTGGCTTTGGCTCTCGTTTTGTTGGCTTCTTTCTAACGCGGTTGGTGCCTCTCTTGCTGTTAATTCCCTCCCTTGCTCCAAATGGAGAGGGACTCCTGCTCCCAGCCGTGCCAGCTGCAGCCTGCAGCAGCTCTGTGTCATAAATGAGGTCTGTGGGATTGCCTTTGATGTCGCTCAGGGGGTTAATTCATTTGCTCCAGTTCGTAGACTAGAAAGCCTCACAAAAGGAGAATTTTCATCATCTGAAATGATTTTTCTTTTCTCAACAATTCATTTCGTTTCTTGGTGGTATTTTTAGGAAAAACTTCAACGAACCTTTGGACTTGAGAAAGCCCTTTCCCAAATCTTTCTTGAAGAGAGTTTGACCACATGCACTTTTTACCTCCCCAAGAGATTTATTCGGCAGCAACCTTAGACTGACATCCATTAAAGAGACAGAGGAAAGAGTTTGACTTTAACAAAGGCTATGATGTTTAGTTTCTGCCTCTGCTGGGGAGTTAATTTTCATTGTGTTTTTAAGTTATGCTTTGGCATTGGCCTTTATCATAGAATCATGGAATAGTTAAGGTTGGAAAAGACTTACATATGTCTAAGTCTGGGACCACAGCATTAGTGGAAGGAACTTGGTGAAAACACATTGCATTTCATACTTGGAGAATGTGGAAACATTACAAAAATAAGGGGGTTTATTGTTTTATTTTTGTTAGCTTTTGTGGTGTTTTTATCTGTAAATTGCTTAAATGTCATTTTTATCTTTTGTGGCAAAGGCACAAAAGGTAGGTAGAAACTCAGGTCTTGGCAAATCTTCCTGCAAAGTGTTGCATCCCAGCTCTGGGAGTTAAAAGGGGTCAGACTCTTCACATGAGGAAAGATGAGGGTTAATTTTGTCAACATACATTGTTGCTTCCTAAGATATTTATTAAGCACTTAATGAATACCTTCAAATGGAAGGGAACTTCGGGGAAGTAGGAATTGTTATATTCAAGGAAGGTGGTGAGGCTGGTGATTTAAAAGTTGTAAGGCTCTGCAGGGAGACACTTGAAGAACCAAGCTTGGAAGGCTTAGTATGGTGCTCTTTCATGGGAGTTAAAATTACCAAGGAGCCTCCAGGAGAAAGGCAGTGAGGATATATGTGTGCTTTGTCCTCATGCTGCACAGTTTTGCTTAGCAGACAACTAATTTCACCCTCCCCAACTTTTTGGTGGGCACGGGAGAGGGGAAAAAAAAAAAAGGGACGTGTCAGAAACCTTTGTTGTTCTGAACTGGAAGAATCCAGTTGACAGGAACGGAGGAGTTGCATTGATTAAATCTGAGATTCCATCATCAGAAGTGGCAGGGATCAGCCACGTGGGCCGGGAAATAATTGCAGCGTTGGTTCTGATTAGGGAGGAACAGAACAAAGGTTGCTTTAAGGCTTCAGTTGTGCTGGCCCTCAGCATTTAAAGTGCAGAGCTTGCTGCTGCTTACCCCAGCTTGCTTTATTTAGGGAATTATGGAGTTTGAATGTGTGTAGTGGGAACTATATTTAAGCTAGAGTTTCTTCCTGTGACCTTTTTACTGGACCTCAAGTATTCATTGAATTAAAAAGTTGCAAAGAAACTCATATAATCTATGCAGCAATATCACCTTTCAGGTGCTTAATATGGCATCAGCAGATATGTGTCTCAAAGGGAGGAATACAGGTATTTTAAGAGGTTCCTACTGATTAAGCACTGGGACAAACCTTGTTCTGTCCATCCTTTGGCATGTGGTAAACTAAACTGGAGGCTTCTCCTCATCCTTTTGCATTCAGAGGAGGGTATGGGCCATGAATATTGCAGTTGCTGTGCTGTTTGTGGACTCCAGTCTGCTCCCAAGGAGTCAGAAAGGTTAATAACATGTCACAGCAGTACATCAGCCATGGACAGCTGTAAGGAGCCCAAGCTGCCCTTGGTATTCCCATGGAAAGTGTTGATGACAGAATGGGTGAGATTAGATATGAGAACGTGTCTTAGTTCTCAAAGAAGGAGAAAGAACACGGTGTTTCCCCCCAAAACACTGTTTTAAAGCTCTCAGCCACTGTAGGTAGTAATTATGGTTAGTTAATACTCAGCTGAGATTAAAACCCCCAGGAAGATTAGAGGTTTCTGAAACCTCTTCAGCCTGCAGAATATTCCCTGACATGTGCAGTGTTCCTCATCTTGGTGATTATGGTCAACCTCACCACGTATTTTTGGCCAAGGATTTATCCTTGATCCCCAGGGCACGGCACTACTGCCACCCCTGGGCTCTGCAGCTCTCTAGTTAAGAGTGTTCCTCTGGATTAAGGAGGATCTGGTTGCTGCTGCTTTTCCCACATAATGGGATTTGAAACCGCGTTTCTCATTAACATTTCTTAACTGCCAGGCTGCAGGAGGGTGTTCCTCTGCTTCTGGCAGCCTGTGAGTGTAGCCTTCCTTCAGTTCCTTCGCGTTTCTCACAGTTCCACTTCTGAATTTGACCACAAAATCTGCCAGTGCTGCTCACGTGGATGTGGAATTAAATGGAGTTAGTGCAGAGCTGCCTTTGGATTGCTGTGTCCCAAGCCATTGGACCCACTCCCATTAAATGCCTCCTGTGAAGTGCTAAGTGCTTTAAAATCCCACTGGGAATTACAAGCCTGAACTGCCTCTGTGCATGGACAAAATGAAAGCCAGAGAGCTGCTTGTTTAGTTCACAACTGAAATGACTCTGAAGTGCTCAGAGATGAGCAAAGTGACAAAAATTACGCAGTGCTGCACTTGCTGCTGGTGACTCAAATACCTGAGCATCGCTCCTGATGCTTCCAGTGTGGAAACCAGCAGAGTGGTGCAGGGAATGGCAGGATCTGTCCCTGTCACCTGCCTGACGTAGCATGAAAATTGTAGGATTGTGAAAAACAGGTTGGCAATTGAGCTACAATAGACTGTCTTTTTTCCCCCCTTGGGTGAATGGGGATATTAGGAAGAAGAAGGTAAGGTTTCTATGGCTGGAATTTGTCTGAGATAAAGTATCCTGTTCTTGTTCTAATATGGAAAGGATTTAGATGCTGACTTTCTTGGGTTGCTTTTTGGACAATCCTTGCTCTTACTTAATTTTGTTTTCCTTTTTGAGGTTTCAGAACCTCAAAGTTTCATGCAGACTTGCCCAGAAACCAGCAGGGGTGCCAGAAGAAGGATCAATTTGCAAGCCACAAGTAATCAACCACCATTTTGGTCTGTTTGTGCTTTTGGGTTTCTATTTGATACCAGTTAGCCCAGAGGAGAGTCCAGCGTTCAGCTACATCAGCATGGAGTAATCCTGATTGAATAGACATATCCTGTGTAAATTTGGCTAAGTCCTGTGATTTCTCAGTGTTGATAATTCCTCAGGGGAACTGGATAAGGTTACAGTAAAGAGCAGGAAGGCAGAAACGCGCTCAAGTTTTGAAATATTGAGCTCCGTGGAGATGCCCGAGGTAGGGGGGAAGTGGGGAAACTGTCAGAAAGGAAGGAATGTCTTCTGGATCCTCACAAAATACACTTGGTTTTGATGTCTTTGTTGCTATGAGAAAAGCATCACCGGAGAAGTTTGTCACACAGAGCCACGTCCAAAATATCTGACTTATGTAGACAGCCAGCTAAGAGATGTAACAGTACTCCAGCTCCTAATCTTCCTCTTATCCCAGGGCAAGGTAGGAATGGGTATCTGATATTTGTAATGGATCTGGCCCTTGTGCTTGCAGAATGGACTCAATGCTCTGCACCTGGCAGCCAAAGAAGGCCACGTGGGACTGGTACAGGAATTGCTGGAAAGAGGGTCGGCCGTGGATTCCGCCACTAAGGTAAGTCACACTTGTCTGCAAGTTTATTCCCAGAAAGAAAAGGTCAAACACATGGGAGAAATACAGGCAAAAGATATAAATGCACTGCTGATATTTAAACTAGTATTTCTACTTTGGCTTTGGAGTCTTTTTTTGCTGAAGCCCTTCGGTAGTAATTGAAGAAGAAAATATTATTTGTACAATAATACAGGGGAAGCATTAAAAGTTTTTAGCAGTGCCAGATTTTTCCTTATTTCCAGTGACAGGTCCACATTAGACAGAATGATTTTTTTCAAATCTGTGAAAATTAGTCAGTGACTTTAACATATCCAGGACCTTTTCTCTTGTGGGCACAGTGGAAAAAACACCTGTGGGATGAGTTGTTTTGCTTTCAGCCTTTGCTTTCAACTGCTGCTTGAAATGATTCCTGAAGAAGGGTAATAATATTATTTCATTTTTCCCCTCTTCCTCCAACAGAAAGGGAATACAGCCCTGCACATTGCATCCCTAGCAGGACAAGCTGAAGTTGTCAAAGTTCTGGTGAAGGAAGGAGCCAATATTAATGCACAATCTCAGGTATGGTGCTGTTTTTTCCCTTCTCTCTTCTAAAAGTTACTTGGTGAGGATTTATAAGGTAGATCTGAGGTTTTAGGCACTGATTCCAGATGTCCAAACCTGACAAATCAAGGGAATTGAGGCGTTCACTGGTAAGCAGAGTAAAAGTAAATAACAAATTGAAGTCATGATATGCTCGTTGTGTGGACAGGAACTCGTGTTGTTGGTGACTGAAATGTTTTAGCATTTTCTGGTGTGCTTTAATACCTTGTTTCAGCAATTTTTCCAAGCATGTAAATATTATATTTGAGTGGAATTTGATGAGCAGTAACGAACAAGAGAATTTCTCCATAACTCGATCTATACAATTGCTTTATATGGTTATTTTTTGGCTAAAAATTTGCAGGTAACTTTACTCCAGGCTTCTGAACTCCTTCCTTACGTGATCAGGAAGAATTTCAATCAGAGAGGTTTGTGATGTGCATTTGAACTGGGGAAAGTCACCTTGTCCTGGCAGAGAAATGAGCTGTAGAAACTGTAAAGAGCAGGAGATGAACAAATAGCTTTACAAAGTAAATAGGTTTCTCTGTGCTGTCATCACATTAAAAATCAAGAGAGAGAAATTGAAAAGATCTTTAAGCTGCCTGACCTGAGGATTTGAAAAAAATATTGTCTTTATTATGCTTTTTGGCCCAAAAGTACTCCCAAAGAGCTCTCTGGGGACGGCTGGTGGTCAATTATTCCCCATGCTCTGCTCCCATTAAAGATAAGAAATGGTGCAATTCCACTGCTCAAAAACTTAGCAAACTCCTGTCATAATGAGCAAACTGGATGAGTTTCTTCATACTTTCTTCAGCCTTTTCATGTGTATTAGAAGATAAAGTAACGTCTTTAGTGTTAGGGTTTTGAGTATTTGAAGAGAAGTAATTCTGAAAAATGTTACTTTCACGAAGTGTTATCCCTCAAAAAGTCTTCATGAAGGCTTTTTCTTACACTGCAAAAAGAAATGAGGTTTTCTAAATTACAAAAAAGAAAGTCCAATTGGAATTGGAAGATGTTTTCACAGGTATTGTTTTATACAGTATTCTGGTTTGAAAGACATTTGTTGTTGGCAGTGGATGCTTTGTAATGCACACAGAGGTGCTAACAGGCATTTGCTACTTGATTTAATTGAATTAATGTGATGGAGGACATTTTTCCCCCCATTGCTGCTCCCAGGTTGCCTCCAGACATGATGAATTCCAACTGCTGGGATACATATGTCTTGGATTTGTGACACACTGTCTTAATTAAACAAATCCTGTTGACTTGACTGGGAGGGTGAGTCCTCAATGTGGTGTCATCCAGCTCTGGGGCCTCTGGGTTGGGTCTTTCTGGCCTGCTGTGCTTTTCCAGAAGAGATGGATAAGATGGATAATAGCTGGATTACATCTCCTCAGGCAGCAGGGAGGTGTTCAGAAGGCTAAGGAGGAATTCCAGTGTACTTTAATTATAAAGAAATTTTTTATGCTCTGTGAATTATTAAGTTAATAAAGACTAGACATGTGATTTATGACATAAGAATAAAAAAGAGTCAAACATATGTAACTGCAGCTGCTCAAAAAACGGAAATGTGAAGTTATATAGAAAAAGGGAAAAAGAATAATTGAGCAGAATATGCTCAAATACTAAGTTTTTTAGTCAGCAAATATGTAAAGGATGAAAAGATGGAAAGAAAAATATTGTTACAGGAAAGAGCTTCATTGATAAAGTGAGAAATGAGCAAAAATACAAATTAAAGGTAAGATGGAATACAGAAGTGGCAAATCATGACTGAAATTCTCAGCTTGTCTTTCTCCTGTTTTCCCCTCAATTCCATTTTTAAGAACAGGTGCTGCATTGTCACCCTCAAACCTTTCAGGAGCAGTTGTTGCTATTGGGGGTGTATGACACCCTCTCCTTGGAATCTCTGTTATTTCACACTTTATTTTTTGTAGGCCCCTGTGAAATGCCGTTTGCTGGTAGTGATTTAATGCCAGGGGAGTTACTCAGGTTGCTCCAGCACTTCCTCTTTAAAAAACTCAGTATCTGTCAAGGTCGTTGTCATTTCCAGTGATGACAATTTGCCGTAGCGACAAAGTTTCTTCTCTGATGATGAACTGGTAGATAAAAGAGTAGTCACAACTCCAGTTTATTGGGTTTACTTTCATTTTCTCCATTAAATGGCGTAAAAACACTGGCTTTTATCAGAACTTATGAGCAGTGACATCTGAAAAACCACACTCGTTTTCCAGTTCCTTGCAACAACGAAATAACAGAATTACCTCAGAAAATGCTATTAAAACCACTGTAACCACTGGGATTACAAACCCCATCTGTGCTATCTGAGGCTGTTAAGCATTCAGGGCTCTGATTTTATGGATTTGGGGCTTCTATTAGATTACTTTGCTTTGCCCTTCAGCTTCATGTTGGCCTTCGGAGTTGTTATTTTGCTCATCTTCCTCTTTTATGAAGCCTGTTCCTTTCAGGCTGACATGTCATCACTGCTATTTTTAGAGAAGTAATTTCTATTTTGATACAAAGCCTAATTGCACAGTGATTGCTAATTGAGTGACTCCACTTTCACCTGCATCTGTGTCATTTGAGAGCTCACGTCTTCCTCCAGCCCGTTTCAGGCAAAGGCTGAAATGAGGGCACACCCAGAGATGTAGAAGTCACTGGTCTCTTTTGGCATATCTCCTCCTAGAACTGGAGAAGTGTGCACTTATTTGGCTCAGTTAGAATTGCTTTTTGCTACAAGTATTGCTGGAGTAGATGTATTTATGTAATGAGTGTCTACAAACCCTTCACTTGGCTGAGTCTGCTCATAGTTCAGTGGGCAGATCTAAATGGGCATCATCAAGTGAAAAAGCAATTTCTGCAGTTTCTCTTCTTGATTTGACCGTGATTTTGGTCCTGTGTAGGTCTGACCAGGCTGCACTAATTGATAATACGAAATCTTCTCTGGGCACTGGATGGTGCAAACCAGAATGCAAAGTTGGTAATAGATCCACTGGGGTGTTCCAGCCTGTTCCTTTGAGCTTTACATTTCCCTGCAGAGCAGAACAAAGTCCATGGAACAAAGTCATCTTTTGCACTCTGCGTTCACTTGGGTGGGTGATCCAAAAGGTACTTCTGAATTTCAGTGGAGAATTCAGATGAAGTCTTCAGGGAGCATGGAAATGTTTCATCAGGCAGACCCACGGAAGTGGGATTGGCCACTGACTTCTCTTACATCCACCCACATACCTCTCACACACTTTCACTGAGCCCAGTGCTATCCTCCTTTCACAGCTGGATCGCTTCTTTACCCCAAACCCATTCTTAGTTATTGCTTATGCATTGGAAAAGCAATTATTTTTGTGCTCTTCTTCCCATTGAGTGTCTGCTCTTGTGACACGCTCAGAATTCTTATGTGAGTTCTTGATCTTTTTTCCCAAGTGGAAGAAATGTCACCAGATTTAGTCAGTCCAACCCTTCCCCTTGAGAAATTCTCATTTGTCTCTGTTGCTTTCTCTTAAAGTCTGATTGTACCATCTGATTCCTGCACAGGCATCAGAGATGTCCCATAACAGGAGTATCAACCTGCCAAATGTGTTGATACCCCAAATGCAATAATCTTAATAACTGAGGCAACTTGTAGACTGTCCCTGCAGCAATGATGCAGAGCTGTTCTGACCATGCATTCCTTTAAGGAATGGATCCATCCTGGCCTTCCTCCATTCCAAACAAGGTCAAGAAAAGCCTCATGTGGAGAGAGTTGCACCTCTTAGGATGAGGTGATTTGACAGATGCCAAGTGATGGAGGCACAGAGAGCTGAAAGGAAAAAGCAAAGTGAGGCAATACAATCTGCTCTAAGGGAGCTGTGATGTCCTGGAGTCACCTGAGTAAGAAGTGATTCCCTTCGATTTTAAAATTCCTGCAGCTGAGACGACATTGGAACGTGTTCCCCATGAGCCATGCGGGTTGTGCTTTGACCCCTGCTTCGTTTAGGGGCCCTCACGAAAGGAGGAGCTGCCTTTTAATCATCAGATTATTTAAAGTGACCCAGATACAGAGAGCAAGGATTAGATAAATCAGTCCTCAAAAGCCCTCCGGTTTCCTTTCCTCGACATCCTGCTCTAAGCGCATTGGGAACACATTAGCCAAGGAGTATTTCTGTTGAAATTTGCCCCCGTTACCGTCACCACTTCCCATGTCAACACCTGGGAGATGCTGTTGTGACTGCTGGAGCGTTCTTATCCGGGCTATCCATGAGGTTGAAGCAACCCTTGGAGCAGCCCATCCCCAGCCCCGCGCGTGCATTCCCCAAAAGGAGCCGCGAGAGCTCGTGGAACGTCCACGTTCCGTGTCGCCACAAACCCAGGGGAGGATTTAGGTGACTCTCAGGGGAGTGATCAGCTTGTCTCTCTCAGGATGCCCCAGGATTTGCTTTACCAGGGATTGCTCTCCCTGTGGTTTGTGAGGATAATCTTACCTTCGGAATGGAGCCTGTTCTGCAGAGTATTTGCTGTTCCATTATGACAAAAGGCTTTAATTCCACCAACTGGTCTTGCTGCTTTTCTCTCAGTGTATTTAGAGAGGCAGATTTTTAACTGCTGTGTATCATGAGGGGTCACTCAGCTGCAGTTCATCATTGCTAATGTAATAAAGGATCAGGCCCATTATCCGTTCACTGGAGGGGAAAAAAAAAAGGCAAGTAATGCCTTCTGGAGGATTATATGGATTTTGAGAGATGTAAACAAAAAGTAATACATTAAGACCAATGAAAAAAAAAAACCCCAAATATGTCAACCAACAAAGACTGAAAACCAGCTGCAAATATTTATAGTATCTGTCTTATTTTTTTTTGTGAATTTACTTTAAAAGTGCTGTAAGGGGATGATTTAAAAGATTTTAATTTAAACAAAAAATGTGTTTGTTTTTTTTTTTTTTTTCAGCCAATGATGTTTATTCTTAAAACGTATAAACTTTAGGAGGCTGCCCTGGCTCAGCCTTTGGG